ATGGAGAGTAAAGAAGGCATGCTCTGAAGGCTACCAATGCCCTTCCTTGCCCTGGTCCACCACTGAAAGTCACAGGCCCTCCAAAACCTTGGGAAAAAGCTGGAAGCAGAGGTTGGTTCTGTCCCACTGAGAGCCAGGAACAGGAATAGAAACAACTCTGGAGATGCACACGAAATTCTAAATCTCAAGAAAATGAATACTAAAGTCTGTGATGGAGTGTTTCAAGTGTTATCTCTCCCACACTAGTACTGAGTTCTAGCCACCACAGCCAGAAATGAGGTTCTGTTCCAGCAAGAGATACTTTATCAGGCAAAGGGCACCATCCCAGTCTCCCAAACAGCTTTTATACGTCAGCAAGACTCCCAAAGGACCTATCTAGAAAGGAACCATTACCGCCCTCTTGGCAGGGCAGTGTGTTTGGACAGAAAATAGAGGCAGGGATGATGAGGATCACCTGACCAAGGTGCCTAGGTAGCTCTATATTGACAAAATAAAATCTCCAGTTTACAGGAAAAGTTATTTTTATAAAAACAGAAGCATGTTTTATTTCAGTCCTGTAGAGGGAGTGAGAGGGATGGAAAACATAAAATGAGGGGAGAAGTCTCTTTATACACACATGACATCAGGACCAACTACAAGGAATAATACTCATTTCCATCCCTCCTCTACAACTTCTACATGGGGTCCAAGGCCAGCTGAGAACAGATGGAACAAGAATTAAGACACTATTGGCACAGCAACATGGCCAATGCACCGAAAGATGGAGAATTTCCCAGGGAGCAAGGCCCTGGGCCTCAGCTGCTTCCCCAGTGGAGGGGGAAAAACTGGCTCAGCAGTAAGGCGGTTGGCAAAAATCAGGGTTACCCTAGCTGGACTCTCCAGATACAAACTATGGGTTGAAGGGAGTCAAGATGTTTATCCAGTCCACGTTGTTTGTTTCTCCAAGATCTCTCCTCTTCAGGCTTGAGATTGTTGAGAGCTGCTGGCCTGCTTCTCCTCTTCATTTTGGAAGGCAGGGGAATAAGTGCTTATCCTACCCTTCCTACATCTAAGCTATTTAATTACTACTTTCTTGGCTCTAAAGAGACAGAAGCCAACTAACAAGGCCGGCTCCCTTTATGAAAGTCGGCTTGAAAGAGCCCTTGTGTTAGCAAAACTGCCTCTGCAAAAAGGTTTCTGTGAGCTTGCCTCTTATAGACCCTCCCCAAACTTGTTCAGAGACACCTTCAGAGACACTTGTTCAGAGACGTGGACAGAAATACTTGGTCTCTTTCTAGAGTTGGATTAACAATCCCATATTTGATTGGGGATGGAGATAACAGAGAGAGCAGGTGTTGGTAGGGGGAAGGGTTGGGGGAAAGCAAGGCATTTTACACTGGATTGTGAACAGAGTCATCTAAAGCTCCAGATAAGGAAGGAGGATTCTATAACACAATATGAACAAGTGGAAAACATTTTAGTGGCAACCCTGTAATTCCCGTAGACCAAAAGGGAATGTGTCAAAAAAAAAAAAAAAAAAAGACTGAGTGGACTAAGATAGTGGACTCAGCCCTCTATTTTAAATCAATAAAATTAATTCAGGTAATACTGCTTCAAGTACAATCATGAAGACAGATGGAGCTCAGAAATTCACATTAAAGCAAAGAATGGGATCAAGTAGCCTATCCTCTTATCCCTCCCTTTAAAAAGTCATCCAGAAAATACCTTTGAGGACTTGAAATGAAGGTGAGATCCAGCAACATCTCTCCTCCTCCAATGTAATACCCTTCTAGAATAGTCTGATGAATTAAGACGTCTGTTTTAAGTTTAATAGGAGGAAAGTGAAAAGGGGAAAAGCACGGAAATTGGAAAAAGCTAGCAGCTAAATTTAGCCAAAAACAAGGTTAAGGTCCTTGTGGCATCCAGAACTGAGGGCAGAAGAATGGGAAAGGAAAGGGAAATTGGCGGTGGGTTCCCGCTGTCCTTTGGCTTTATACCTTTCCCCTGCCTCCCATTCCTCCCAACAGTTCATGCAGCTATTGGTCTGCTGGAGGGGATGTAATGCCCAGACCAATTTTTTATTGAGCTTATGCAGCTAACAGACTTGTAAACAGTGCCAATTGACAAAGTTTTGCTGAATATTACAGCTTGTGTCACTAAACACACCTCTCTCTGAGATTAAAAACAAAACAAAACAAAAAAAAAACCAAAAAAAACTAAGTAAACAAATACTGAGAGAGAGAATGAAGAGACACATCTTGAGTCTTCCAGAAAGGCAAAATAAAAAAATGCCACATGGCTTGGTCCCAGGCGTTCACCAAGCCTAGAGTGCTGCTGCTATCGCCACTGTCTCCTCTCCCTGCCAATGGCTAGGTAGAGGTTGGGGAGAAGGGTCATCTTGGGCATGCTGCAAATACAGCATTTGCTGGTGTTGACACCCTCCTGGGGCTGCGGTGGCAGACTGCTGTGTCAGGAGCCCATTTCCTGGGAGTAGCAGAGGGAGCCCAGGTCCTTGAGGCAGCCTGAGAGGGCAGCTCGCACACCTCGGCAGGGCACCGTGCCCCTCTTCTCCAGTGCAGTTCAGCATTGAGGTTGTCTATTCCCGGTCGGCGATAAAACCTGAGCTGTTTTCCTTGAAGGCTCCCTCTCCCTTCCCCAACTTGTGGGAGCAGTGGGAGGGGACAGGGGAGGATCACTGAGGGGGCAGGGGGATACCCCGGGGATCGGTGACCTGGCCCTCTTGCAGGTTCTTCACCAGTTGTGCAAGCCAGCGTTTCGTGGTGGTGTCATCTTTTAGCACCTGGGCAAAGGTTGTGTCCTTCAGCTGGTCAGGGAGGCACTGTCTGAGTGCTTCACGTGCCCTACATCAAAAACAAACAAACCAACGAGGGAGACCAAAAAATAAATCCACATTTGGGAGACAGGAAAGAGCCCCTGTTCTAGACATAAATATACAGAACCCAGGGAATCTATGGCTCTGTCAAGTTACTTGAAGAAGCCATGAAAATTCTTTAAAGCTTATATGAAGTATAGGCTCAGGATCTCCAGGATCTGCAGTATGCACACATTTTTAGAATGATGCCCCAATGTAGAACTTCATGACAAAAGAAAATGGAATAAAATGGTACAACAGTTTAGTTCAATTCAAACTGCTTTCTGATTTATTACAGTAAATACTGTCAATATACTCATGTTAGAAATATGAGTTATAGTAAATTAGACATTTCCAAAATCAGTACATTAACACGGAATATGACCTGAATCACAGTATAATAAATTAATGAACTTTAACTCTAAACCAATAAAAATTTGTGTCTTTCCAAAAACTGCTTCAATTTTATAATTAAAACCCTTAAAAAGAGATGAGCAGTAAAAGCAAAAGTTTGGTAGCAACATTATCAGATGAACTTTTACATGTTTCTTTTTCTTTAACAGATGATCAGCAGTAAGTCAAATCTGAAAACCTCAAAAAGGTAAATGTTAACTATGAGGCAGTTTTAGCAAAGTTATGGCTTTTGTACTCAGATTAGTTTCTTTGTACAAGAAGAATTTTAAATAAACATATTTTCAAACTTTGGTGCAAACAGGAACCAATGAAGAATAGGACAAAATTGTTGAAGAAACAGCTAGGGCTTGAATAACCTCAGTGGCAGGAGGCTAAGTTCACATTAAATCAAATTATCCCCACTCCTAGGAACACAGAAATCACCCCATTATGTGGTTTAGCAGAATCTGAGCGAGTGGCTTTTAGCATGAATTATGGATATACAAAGCAAAAGGTCAAATATTTCTAAATACATTATACCTACAAGGTATGATTTCTGGGAGAAAGACTATGAACATAGGGAGATAAAATAAGTAGCTCAAGGACTTTACAGGAATCAAAGAGAGAACTGAAAATATAATAAGAGCCCTCTGGGCTCCGATCCTTTCCTAAGAGATCTTTGAAAATACTTTTCTCTTTCTGATCACTAGGAGTAGTAACAGAAAGCTCAAACTACAGGAGTAATGTATCCTAAGGTTCTCTGGGAACTGTCTGGATTCTCTGGAATTTTAGAGTAAGATAGAGAATTTTACTCTGGAATTTTAGAATAGTTACAGTGGGGAAATAAAAATCTGATGGATTTTCTTAAATTCAGCACTTCGGATTTTAAAAGTACTTAATGAAGTTCTGTCTCAGACAAATTAAATCTAGTAACATCCCTTCCCTGTCCTAAAGATACAGAAGCTATGCCATGAGATGGAGCAACAATTCACCAGAATATTTCCCCCAAATTCTATATATCCTGGAAATGTTTACCTGGGATTATCTGAGAGTCGAAGGTAACATCTCACTACATGTTTCAGCAGACGGGCAGAAGGCTCTTTGGACAGCTGCAGGACCATCTTACCCTGTTTCTCCCCAAAATGGGGTGGAGTAGGAAAAAAAACACAAACATGAAATAATCCTAGTTAACATCAGAGATCAGATATTGCAAGAACTATTACACACAGTTCCAGGGTTGTTATTTCTAGGTGGAAGGCTGAAGCTGCTCTGTGTTGACTGCAAAAGGACTAAGCTGTGTGTTCAGAAGTAGTTGCAAAGAGGGTAGATAGAAGAACTCACCAAGATCATGGCAACATGAGAGAAACGCTCATATGTCTGACATATATAAGCCAAACCGGTGTCATCTAAAAGGATCTTCTGGAGGATGAATGTGGCAACCTGGAGTAAAACAAAATTAAGAAGTCCAAAACATTGCTCAGACAGGTCTTACAACTGCCTATTCATCTCCCAGGAATAATGAAAATCAGAAAATTAAGCAGAGACCCTTGCATTACATATAACTTACTTGACAAGATATGCATAGTACAAAAAAAATAAGAAATATTACCATATTGAATGCTTATTATGTGCCAAAATTTTTCCTAAACGTATAACATGCCATACACCTTATTTTCACAATAAACCTATGAGGTAGGTACCATTGTTATTCTCAGATTCTTAAAAAGTAGACTTTCTCAGTTACTGAACACCTTACTATGTGCCAAGTATAACTGCTAATCAAAAACTTTCCAAGGTCCAAGTAATAAAGCTATTAACGTGCAGAGTTGAGATCCAAAACTAGTTTGAACTAGAGCCTCTTTCTTTCCCATGGGCCAAGATGATTTTAGAGATTCAGCTATGCCTCATCTCTTCCATGTGAGGTAAGTCTTTTCCTATTCTTAAAAGATCTTTAAGAAATAAAATTTTTAAGCCTCTCTTCAAAAATCGTTTCAAGGGTAGTAAAGAATATCGCCAACTTACGCTCATTAAGTCTTACATAGAAGAGATTTAATTAATACTAGTTTAATTCAAGACAATTATTACAATGATTCTTTTTGGCTGCTCATCAGAATCAACTTTGGGAATTATTAAATTTTACTGGGATATAACATTGGGATTGGCTAAATAATGATTACCATTAGGACCAAAGATATCTGGGTCCTAAACACCAAACCTGGTGAATGTTACCTTATATGGCAAAAGGGACTTTGCAGGTGTGATTAAGTTAAAAATCTTGGTGGGGGTAATCACCCTGGATTATCTAAGTGGGCCCTAAATGTAATCTCAAGTGTCCTTATGAGAGGGAAGCAGAGGGAGATTTGACCACAGAAGAGAAGGTGACATGACAGAAGCAGAGTTATGAACATGCTACATAGCTGAATTTGAAGATGGGCTGTGGGAGAGGGGGGACAAGAGCCAAGGAATGCAATTCTAAAAGCTGAGAAAGACCCTCCTGACACCCTAACTTTTGCTTGGTGAAACTTCTAGCCTCCTGAATCAAAACAGAATAGATTTGTGTTGTTTTAAGCCACCAAGGTTGTGGCAATTTGTTTTGGCAGCAATGGAAAACTAATACAAACACATACATGGTCAAATGTGTAACATGCACAAAGTACACTAATCTTAAGTATATCTCAATAAATTTTTACCTATGTACACATTTATGAACCACAACCAGATTAAAATATAGAATTTTTCCAGCACCCCTAAAGATTCCTTTGTGTCTTTTCCCAGTCAATATCTTTCCCAGAGAGGTAATCACTATTCTGACCTATCCCCATTGATTGCTTTTGCTTGTTGTTAAATTTTGCATAAATGGAATCATATAGTATGAACTCCTATGTGTCTGGCTTCTTTCGCTCAACAAAATGCCTATGAGAATCATCTATGTTGCATAAATCAGCAGTTCATTCTTTCTTGCACACATGATGATGTATATTAGAGCTCTTTTCTCTTGGGTGGGACTGCTATGTCATAGGGTAGGCTTGTTTATAGTGAATACTGCTAAACGCCTTTCCAAAATAGTTATACTATATACCATAAAGAAGTAGCCCAAGAGCCAACGCAATGTAGAATCTAATTAAGTTAAAAGCACATACCGTTTTAGAGAGCTCACTTCCTGATTCCATAATGCGCAAACACAAAGGGATAATTTCTGTTGTCAATAAAAAGTTGATTACTTCCTGCTCATCTGTTTTCACCAGAGCCCCTAAAGAAAATACAGATGAACAAAATTATGTCAGAATCAAGGTTTCAAATTAAAATTAACTTTGTATTGTTCGTTCATCCAGCTAGTTGTGGAAGTTAAGTAACACAGTACACAAACTGTGGTTTATATGTCGGAGAACCAGGCATACCCATGTAAAAGAAAAAAAAACGGAAGAAAAGCACAGGTTGACTATTATCAGTCAGCACTAAAAGACCAGGTACCAAATTTGGTCCTTCATATAGTTAGCAGCAGTTCAGCCACCTAAATAATTTCTCTATCACTTTTGGTAGACAATCATACAATAATATCACTGTCCTCCATTTATTTTAGGTAAGAGAGAAAATTTCTACATTAGAATTAAAGCATATTCCCAAGTAGCAAAGAAATGATGTCAGTCTGGATCCTACTTCATAATGGGCATAAATACACATTACTTCCTTCTGATTATTTAATTGCTCCTCTTTCTCCAAAGAGCATAAACATTGTGGGTATATCAGAACAAGAAACGCACCCACACCCACCCACCCACACACACACAGACCTCACCTCACCCCCATCCCCCTGGATTCTAATTCTGGTTCCATAAGCAGTTTACTTAAGTTTGATAAAGTTACCTTCACTTTGTAGGCCTGTTTCTTTATAAAATAGCAGTTGGAATAAATGATTTCTAAAATTCATCCCAATTTTATTATTCTACTGGTTTTTAAACTGACTCCATTGACCAGGTGACCAACACAGTTCAGTGCTATATTCTCCATTCTGTATACAGGGAAGCAGAACCCCATGAAACAAATGACTGTTCCCTGAGCTGCCCAATGCATCACTAGTCTTTATATGAAAGGCCTTGGTTAATTGGACTTGTAATAACTAAAATCAATTACTTTAAGAGAGAGTAAGGAATATCACTCATTTTAACCAGAACTGGCAATCTACATATGTTACATTTCTAAACCCCACAGCAAACAGCATATACCATAATTTACTAACAGGACCTATAGTATATGTCAAATTACTATTTCATTTAGATTTTACATGAAGTTCTAAAATCCATTTTGAGTTAATTTTTGTAGAGTACACAGTATGGATCATGGTTCATTGTTTTACATATGTATATTCAGTTGCTCCAGCACTATTTTTGAAAAAACTATCCTTTGTCCACTAAACTCTTTATACCTTTGTCAAAAATCAATTGACCATCTTTGTGTGGGTCTATTTCTAGATTCTCCATTCTGCTTCATTGATATATTAGTCTACCCAATACTACACTGTACTGACTACTATAGTTTTCCAGTAGGTCTAGAAATCAGGTAGTTTATGTCTTCCAACTTTGTCCTTTTAAAAAAATGTTTGGATATTTCAGTTCACTTGCCTTTCCATATAAATTTTAGGAGCAGCTTAATTTCTATTTAAAAAATACTAAACTTTTTTATTTTTATTTTTTTGAATTGCTCTAAATCTATAGATCAGTTTGGGGAAAACTGACATCTCAAAAATATTGAATCACTGATATATCAATCAATGCACATGGTATATCTCTATTTATTTAGGTCTTTTTTGATTTCTTTCATCACTGTTTTGTAGTTTTTAGCTACAGAGCTTGCCCATATTTTGTAAGATTTACACTTAAGTTTTCCACATGTTTTGTGCTATTAAAAATGGTAGGTTTCAGTTCTAGTAGCTTTTTTGGGTTGATTCTTCAAGATTTTTATATGTAGTTAATCATGTTGTCTATGAATACACAGTCTTGTTTTTTTTTTCTTTCTAACCTGTATGTCCTTTATTTTTTCTCTTGCCTTACTGCACCATCTAGGCTACCCTGTATGATATGAATAGGAGTGCTGAGAATGAATATCCTTGTCTTGTTCTCAGTCTTAGGATACTACATTCACTTTTTCACATTAACTAAGATCTTTACTGTAACTTTCGTTTTTTGTAGTTTATCAAATTGAGAAAGTTCCCCTCTATTCTTACTTGGCTGGAGTTTTTTTTATGAATAGATGCTGAATTATGTCAAAGGCCTTTTTTAAAAAAAACTACAGAAATATTATGATTTTTCTTCATTAGTCTCTTGATATGGTCAATCATATTGACTAATGTTTGAAAGATGAACTAGTATGCATTCCCAAGATAAACTTCAACTTGGCCATGATGATCCTTTTCATATATTGTTAGATTTGATTTGTTAGCATTTTGTTGAGAATTTCTGCATCTGTGTTCGTGAGGAATACTGGCCTATAGCTTTCTTTTCTTATAATGTCTTTTTCTAGTACTATTATCAGAGTAATGCTGGCCTCACCAAGAGTTGAGAAGCCTCCTCTCTGTATTCTGGAAAAGTTTTATAGAATTGGCATTATTTTTCCTTTAAATTTTTAGAATTCACAGTGAGATCATCTGGGCCTATAGTTTACTATGTTGGAAGGTTTTTTGTTTGTTTGTTTGTTTTGTATACTTAAAAGTTTTATTGAGAGGGTAGATTTCATGTTAAATGTCCTTTTCACAATTAGAAAAGAAAAAGAATTCAAAAGAACCCACAGGACATCTAGTTAAATTACAATGATTTCTAATTACCTATGCATATAAAAGAAAAATATTGGGAAGGTTTTTAACTACAAAAAATAATTTATTTAATAGATGTAAGACTATTCAGCTTGCTTATATTTTCTTGAATGTGCTTTGGCAGACTGAATCTTTCAAAGAATTTGTTCATTCCATCTAAGTTGTCAAATTTATGGGTATAAAGTTATTAGCAGTATTCTTTTATTATCTTTTTAAAGTCTGTAGAGTCTGTTATAACATACCCCCTTCCATTCCTGATATTTGTAATTTACATCTTCTCTTTTTTCCTCAGTCTGCCTGGTGAGAAGTTTATTAATTTTATTGAAATTTTTTTCAACAAAAAATTGGGGGGGTGGATGAAATGGGTAAATGTGGTTAAAAGGTACAATTTCCAGTTATAAGGTAAATAAATTCTGAGGATGTACTGTACAGCATAGTGACTATAGTTAACAACATTGTATTGTATATTCGAAAGTTGTTATAGACCTTAAAAGTTCTCATCACAAGAAAAAAATATTGTAACCATATGCAGTGATGGATGGCAATTAAATTTATTGTGGCAATCAGACTGAAATATATACATATATCAAATCACGTTATACACCCAAAACTAATGGTATATGTCAATTATATCTCAATTGTTTTAAAAATCAGCTTTTGGTTTCATTGGTTTTGTCAATTGTTTTTCTGTTCTCATTTTCATTGACGTCTAATCTTTATTATTTCCTTCCTTCTGTCTGCCTTGGGGTTTAATTTGTTGCTTTTCCTAGTTTCTTAGAGTGAAAACTTACCTTATTGATGATTAAAGAGCTTCTTCTAGTATAAGAATTTAATGCTAGAATTTTACCTCTAAGCCCTGCTTTAGTTACATCATTCAAATTTCGATGCTGTTTTCATTTTTATTCAGTTCCAAGTGCTTCTAATTTCTCTTATACATCATCCCATTTATACTCAAACTTATCCAGTAAAGTTTGAACTATAAGCAAAAAGTCTAGGCATAAATATTCACTTTCTGCTTGTTCTTTAAACTGACTTGAAGAAACGGAGTTTCAGAAAATATAGGCAAGGGTAGACAATTGGCTTAATATTGTCCTCTACTACTGTCTTTATCTTAACACCTCATAAATGCATCATCCAACCTCAGTGCTCAAAAAACCAGCAGAATTAGAATGATCTGAATCAAGAAATTAAGGATAAAAACATTTTCTTTTTACTGGAATCCTGGTGATATTTTAAATCCTATATGAAAAATTTTTATAGCTTAAAAGCAGAAAAGAATATATTAGAAAAAAGTTTCTAATTAGAGTCCCACTTGGGAGGAGGTATAAAAAATAACATTCATTTGGAGTATATGAGATAATAGTTACTCCTGAAAAGTAGCATAAACTATCTCAAAAATATGTATTAGTAATATCAAATTTTAAAATTATACTTCCCGATTCATGGTTTATAATCACACGCATGTGAACACAGGTTGAACATAAAAACAATAACCTAACAAAATAAAATTTGCACAATCAATGTTATTATTGTTTGGTCAGTACATAAGCAAAAAACTATGAGAAAAAGACGTTTAGAAAAGGAAGGGTAATTTTGGAAAGAAATGCTTGAATATTTGCATTTCACACATCTAAAGACAGTTCTTTACTACCCAGGAGGCTGAGATCTGAAATGGCTGATATATTATTTTCTTGAGTAAAGAGAATTGTAAACCCATTTCCCATAGTAAATGTATACGGAAACATTAACTTGAACATGCAAAAATTTTAACTAGGGGAACTAGAAGGTAAACTCTTGGAGTTAAGGGAGAATAGTTTAGAAGTGAAAAGAAAAAAAACAAAATAAAACAAAACAAAAAACAAACTCAAATCTTAGTCCTATAATTATAAATTTATTTGTTACCTGAAGTTCTTGTTCATTACTCTCCCTACAATTCCAATAAACACTGAATTTAATCTCAAATGTTGGGCCTTATTAACAACACTCAGAATGGAACTTGATAAGGGTCATCATGTTCCTGATACTCATTTATCAGTGAAAACAGACTCGATCTCAAAGACAAAAACAATTGATGAACAAAAGCTATAAAACACCAGACAAAACACCAAAGTTAAGACCACTATTATGAATTAGGATTTCAGGCTTGCTAAACAACCCTAATAACTCACCAATAACTCCAAGACTGGTTAGCCGAAGATATTCAAAAGGACGCGTTTTGCTGACAGTGTGCAAAAAAGGGTACAGAAAAAGTGGGATGTGTGCTGCAAGAAATGCTGACCTGGAAGAAAAAAATAATCAAATTCAGAGCCCAGAGTTAAGCTCTAAGGATTCTAAACATTCAATTTTCGGGTAGTTAATTCTGTAAGGCCTATAATATTGCCTGACCAAGGACTATTTAGGAAAGACTGTTATTGGTCATTAGCCTAGACCAGTGGTTCTCAACTGTGATGATTTTACCCCCCACCCACACCCCCAGGGACATGTGGAAATGTCTGGAGATATTTTTGGTTGTCAAGCTGAGGGAGTGTTTTATTGGCATCTAGTAGACAGAGGCCAGGGATGCTGCTAAAAGCACAGGACAACCTTCGCCCACCTCCCTCCTCCTACCACAAAGTCAAGATTTAAAAACCCTAGTCTACGCCAATGTTAAGAGAATACATAATTTTCCCTTGTTACCACACCAAGTACCTTAAAAACTGATAAAATATCTAACTGCAGATTTAAAAAAATAGATCATAAATGTAATCAAGTGTCTAAGAGATTCACCTAATTTATGGCCAAATAACAATATTCACAGGTATAGTCAGACAAAACCTTATAAACCAAGACAACAAAACAAAGCAGCCAGTATCAGTTTTATCTGCTATGCTTAAATGCACACTCTTCTTTTTATGTCAGAAAATTTCAAGTACACTATTCTAAAAACATTTTAATCTGCAATATGTCAGGCAACTAATGAAATCAATCTATCACTTTATATTATTTGTAGTTAAACCTTGTAGGAGAGCCAATACCCTAAACTTTAAACACTCAAAGTACTCTTGCATTTTTCTTAAGCGCTTAAAAATAATTTTCTTAGTAGCTTCTCTAAAGCTCTGGAAAGTCAATGCCATCCTAGTATTCAGATTTTGTAAGGAAACTTGACAAAAGAGGGGAAAGACATTAATAAAATGACTATTAAGTGCCTTAAGGCCATAAAAGTTACAAAGTAGATTCCTAATCAGGATTTCCCTTTTCTTAATTTGTCAGATACAGCAGGAAGGCAAAAACATTTCAACTTGCAAGCCAATTCTCATCTATTATAGAGGGTGCCTAGAACAGAATCCTGTATTAAGAAAGATTCTGACACCAAATCTGGGTTCGGTGGAAAAAAAACACTTGGTTCAAATATTTACTAAATGCCACGTACCACCTCATACACAGCATAGTGATGTCTACCATGGATTCAGGAGGAAGAAGTGACTATATGCCTGACCTTTCCTGAGATGTGAATACCATTAAAATTCACTGCTTTGAATGGGTAAAAAGTAAATGAGACAACGGGATATTATTCATCCTTAGAAAAGAAATTCTGACATATGCTACAATATGTCAGAATTGGATGAACCTTAAGAACACTATGCTAAGTGAGATAAGCCAATCACAAAAAGACAAATACTGTATGATCTCACTTATATAAGGTACTCAGAGTAATCAAAATCTTAGAGACAGAAATTAGAATGGTGTTGCCATGGGCTGGGGGAATGGTGAGTTACTATTTAATGGGTATAGAGTTTTAGTTTTAAAAGATAAAGGAGTTATAGAGATTGATAGTGGTGATAGTTGAACATTATAAATGTATTCAATACTAATGAAATGTATACTTAAAAATGGGTAAAATGATAAATTTTATGTTATATGTATTTTACCACAATAAAAAAGGTAAAAAAAATTATAAAAAATATATTAAATACCATACAGTTATCACACTAAAATTTAGTGAATTAGAGACCAGAGTTCTTTAGAAATAAAACAAAAAGTAAATGAGGATCCTGAAGGTCCACACGCACACATATGCACCCTACTGCATGCCCCTCCTGTCATCATTCAGAAAAAGTTAGACTACATTCAGTACAAACCTCCCTGCCAATAGACTCATTCAAAGCATTTACCTGGTTTCTGGGTGTGATGCCACACATTGCAGTAATGCCAGAGCATTGCAAACTCTGTTGGACTGGTGTGCTGTCAAGGTGGGTGGGTTGATAGATGGATAAATATTTACAATTTCCTAAAAATGGAAACCAGCACCAGATGAACATGGAATAACTTATAAAATTAATTCCCATGATTTTACAGAAAAGAACTTAAAAAAAAAAAACCCCTCTTATTTCCGCCTATCCTTCAAGAATTGAATCATCAAAAAAGGAGCAAAAATAAACAATGCTCCAATCCTTTCATCTGAAATACACTTGACTGAAGCTATCTGAGACATTTCTACATATGTCTCTAGGAAGATTTCTATGGAAGCAACTGTGGTCAACGACACTTTATTTTATATCTGCATTTGTTGAGACTTTCACTTGAGGGACTCTTAACATTTATAATCCCTCTTTTTGTCAACACCTTGCTTTAAGCTATAGTGATGAGACTGCTGGCCAGAAAGAATTAATAAATCAACCATAGTGACTCACAAAGAAATTTGAGTTTGGTTAGGTAACAGTTGCAAAAAGGGGAAGATAAGATCATGGGTATATATGTGGGGATACATACAAACAGCAATGAATATGTGTACTCTGTTAAAAGGTGATGATTTGCTGAAAACAATTTCATTTCTTTTAACTGTAAAACTTACATAAAAAATGTTCTTGTAAGAAAGATTAGATTCTTGGGTACATGTAGTAGGGATACAATGTGAATTGATTTAACAGATCTGAAAAATTAATTATTATATTAGGAACTTTAGATAATAAAGGATGATCATTCCACTTGATTACCAAATCAATTTATTCCTCACCAATGAGCATCCAGAACCAAATTTCAGTTATTTATTCTTCAACGTACAAGTGTACGCACCTTTAATCCTACTGCTGTTATATCTTTAATATTCTTTCCCCAGAATATACCTTGCAGTCCTTACATCTTACTTTCCACCTTCTCCTCACTGTCATGCAGCATTATCTTCTAGTACTCCTAAACTGAGTTTCTCAAAGTGCAGTTCTTAGACCACCTGCATCAGAATCACCTGACAGCAGGGGAGGTCCTTGTTAAAAATAGAGATTTTAAATTTCAGACTAAATAAATCTCTTGGCTAGGATCCAAGAATATGCATTTTAACAAGCATCTTTCTAAAACAGATTCTTACAAATGCTAATGTTTAGAGACTTATTCTACTAATGTCTTCAGAATCATTTGGGCAAAGGTAGAGAAATACAAGTGTGATGAACAAGACTGAACTGCAACTCATGGATAATACCCACCTGTAAAAGTGCTGCAATAGTACCAAATGAATGCCACAGCATAGGTGCAAGGTCAGGAACAGATTCTCGTTTCTTACTTAGCTCCAACAAAGCATTTTCTCTTGTCTCAGGACTGGACAGCTCGTTGATCCACTGATAGATCTTTTCTCTATCTACTTGAGCCAGTGCAGTAGGCACAGGCTTCAAGTGAAAACAAGAAAGTAAACAAGTGAGTTTCATTAAAGTCAAACCAAGTCTTACCCTGCAGTACTTCTTTAGAGGGAATATATTTTTCATAAATACCAGGTGAGGTTTTCTAAATATATACATTTGATATAAATTAATAGAATCTATTGAAATCTAAAATGCACACACCCTTTAATAATTCCACATTTAGGAATTTATTCTATAGGTATACTTTGGCTGTACCGAAGACATATCAGGGCATACTGTTTTAAAAACAGAAAACTTGAAATGACAAACATCCATCAATAAGGAACTGGTTAAATATGTTTGAGTACATCTTTATGTAGCCCTTTAAAAGAGATAGCTCTATACATGCTGATACTAAGTAAAAAACACAAAACAACAAAAAGGGTATAGAATAGTATATATGCTTCCATCAATATATACATACATAATCTTATACATTTATATATAACATTTCTAGGACACATGGGAGACTTTTCATGTACATAATAAAATCTGTATGGTTTAAATCTTGAATGAAAAGTTACACCCACCCCACCCATTGCTGGTGTTTCCCCAGTAATTCCAGCATCCCACTCATGGAGCAGAAAACAGACTTATAGAACATGCATTCATTACTGTGGTAAAGAATCGCAATATCCCCCCCAAAACTTGAGGATTTCTATAATTCTTCACGATTTTCAAATAGCCTTGTGACCTTGGTTAAGTCCATGGATTACTGTTATCTGGAAAATATAGATGGTAGACTAGAAAACTGATTACCATTACTATTCCTAGCTCTAAAGTCTTGACACATTCATGATGATTTCTATCCCTATGTCCAATATTTTCTCACTTAATTCCCCCCTCAAACCATGAGGAATAAAAAGTTGGGTAGATAGAAAAAAGGGACCTATACATTTGCAGATGAGATAATTTTGCTAACAGAAATAAATTTGCTTAATTCATGCAAGTATGAAGGTGCATACTGCAATGCTTTCTTGAACTGTATTAGTTTCTTGCAGTACTGACATGTTCCTACTACACCTTAATGTGATAGGATGACCCATCCATTGCAGAGATGAAAAGATGAAGAACAAAAAGGACAACTGTCTTTGCTGAAGAAAAGACTGAAGTCCACCGATGGACTTTGAAGTGTACTTATATTTACTCAACCCAAACAGAACAATAATAGCCTTCTATAAATGGAAGCCTGATTATAAACTTTTAGTTTAATGTTTATCATTTCACTTGCTTGACAGAATGAACCACAAAGTGTTCCGCTAAATGAACTGAAATATCATGCAGCTTAAGTCTTCTTTAAGTGCCTTAGAGTAATCTGTTAAAAGCTGTTTTGTGACTCCCATCAGTGATGCTTCTCAAGGAAATACAGGCTCCTAAAGCAACAATACGATATAGAAGGAATAGGGTAGTTTTTTCCTCCTCCCAGCAGCCTGGCAACAGAGTCCATACTCATAACTGCGTTGCTAATGCTTCTTTTCACCTTCCTGAAAGATTAGGTGTGATCTAAAAATGACTTTCTAAAAAACTATTTCCTGTAACCTAGACAATAGAGATAGAAAAGTATATAAAAATCTCAGTCAAAAATTAAAATGTTACTGCTATTAGTTCAGAAGAATCTAAAAAACAATTAGCACCATGAACAATATCATTGATATTAAGAGAAATTCTCTACTGTTGAGATTACAAGGCTTTGGTAACCATCATTTTAATGGAAAAGTAGGTGAAGTCATTTGACAGTTTCCTATGTCAAATCATGGCTCAAATGGGCATAATTTAGCTAGCGATAGCGACCAACACAAACACACACAACCTCCCCCCATATATCAACAAGTAATTTTATAACATGAATGAAAATTCAGTTATTTTGGAGAATAAAAGAAAAAATATTTTTAGTTTTGAGTTACATATTGATTTATATATTAATTTACGTTACCAGACAATTGTTAAAATACTTTGGACATCATTCCTGAACAAAACTCCAAAGCACATCTCCAGCATCTCACTAGACCTTTTTTTTTTTAAATTGAGGTAACACTGGTTAATGACATTATACTAGTTTCAAATGTATAACATCATAACTCAATATCTGTACATTATAGTGCTCTCACCACCAAAAGTCTAGTTTCCATCTGTCAACATATATTAGATCCTCTTCCCTTTGGTAAGCACCAATTTGTTGTATCTATGAGTTTGTTTTAGTTTTGTCTTATTTGTATCTTTGTTTATAATACATGAGTGAAATCATATGGTTTTGTCCTTTCCATCTGACTTATTCCACTTAGCATAATACTCTCAAAATCCATTCATATTGTGGCAAATGGCAATATTTTAGCTTTTTTTATGGCTGAGTAGTATTCCATTGTTAGGTTGTTTCCTTATCTTGGCTACTGTAAATAATGCTGCAATGAACATAGGGATATATATCTTCGCAAATTTGTGTTTTCATATTTTTCAGATAAATACCCAAAAGGGGAACTGCCACATAATCCAGCACAAATTTGCGAAGATATATATCCCTATGTTCATTGCAGCATTATTTACAGTAGCCAAGATAAGGAAACAACCTAACAATGGAATACTACTCAGCCATAAAAAAAGCTAAAATATTGCCATTTGCCACAATATGAATGGATTTTTTTTTGCAGAATCTCTATACTGTTTTCCATTGGTGGCTGCATCAATTTACAAACCCACCAACAGTACAAGGGTTCTCTTTTCTCTACATCCTCTCCAATACCTGTTATTTCCTGTGTTTTTAAACAGTAGCATTCTAACAAGCATGAGGTGATTATCTCATTGCAGTTTTGGTTTGCATTTCCCTAATATTAGTGATGTTGAACATCTTTTCATCACATGCCTGTTGGCCTTCTGTATGTAAATGTCTATTCAGACCCTCTATCCATTTTTTAATTGGGTTGCTTTTTTGTTGTTGAGTTGTAGGAGTTCTTTATATATTTTGGATATTAACCTTTATTGGAAATATCATTTGCAAATATCTTCTCTCATTTAGTTGGCTGCCTTTTATTGATAGCTTCTTTTGCTGTGCAGAAGCTTTTTAATTTGTTTTTGTTTTGTTTCCCTTGTCTTTGGAGTCAAATTCACAAAAGCACCACTAAGACTGATGTCCAGAAGCTTAGTGCCTATGTTTTCTTCTATGTATTTTATTGTTTCAGGTGTTACATTCAAATCTTTAATTCATTTTCAGTTAATTTTTATGAATGGTGCAAAAACCCGTCTAGTTTCATTCTTAGATCTTGATGGTAATAAAAACCCAAAATGTATCTTACTCTTCTTCTGAATCCCAAGAATCACTTAGGAACACCTTTCACAAAAATATCGTAATCTGAAAACTGATGTCTTCTTAGAAGGGAGTGGGAAGTGAAAGAGGGGGATGAGGGAAGAGAGGGAACTGTACTGCACTTTAAAAAAAATCATGGTTTCATTTAATGATCACAACAATATGGTTATTATCTTCATTTTACAACTAATCAAACTATGAGTAAATGATGGTGGACAGATTTCCCCTTCTTCCCATTCTCTAGTTAATTAAATTACTACAATTATTTTAATTTACAATTTACTAATTACATTTCTGAGGCTGTGATTGATACGGAATTCAGTCTAGTAGCACACACTGTTCAGTGGCAGCTAAACTTATCTATGACTTCCTTACTGGAGACTACCTAACTTAAATACATTAACAATAATAGTAGGACACTAGCCCAAGCACAGAGATTAACATTTCTTGAATCAATGAAATCTATGGATCTTTTTCTCAGAAAAATACATAATTGCGAATTGTTTTGCACATAGTTTTCCACAAAATACACAATTTCAGGGAATCCATGGACCTAGGATTAAGAACCTGTTATCAAGCTGAATAGGAAACACCTCAAACTGTAAGTACCTACACAAGTACATAAGTGGAATGCACACTGGATTAGAAGCCATAACCGGCTTCAAAACAGTTTTGCTCTTTCTAGATTTCTGTAACCTAGGATAAGTCATTTACTTTTCCAAGCCTCAGTTTTGTCTTTGGTAAAATGAGGAAACTATATTAAATAATTACCAAAGTCTTAGTGGGCTATAAAATCTTAGGAATTATTTAGTTCTTTGTTTTAAGTGAGAGACTAATCTAAGTGGCTCTTTAACAATAAATTTTATTGAGGTATAATTTGCATACAATAAAGCTTTTCAGCACACCCATTTTAAGTGTACATTTCAGTGAATTTTGAAAAATTTATATACCGGAGTAACAAGATACAATCAAGATACAGACCACTTCCATTACCCTCAAAAGTTATTCCAGTTAGTAACCCTACCACACTCAGCCCTAGACAACTATGGATATGCTTTCTGCTGCTATAGATTAGGTTTGCCTTTTCTAGAAACTATTTATAGAAGGTAACATTTATTGAACATACTATGTGCTAGTCACTGTGATCACCTCCCTTTATTTTCAAAAATTCTAAGAGGAAATGGGTTCAGGGAGGTTTAACATACTTAAGTTCACACAATGAGTGTATGGTAAAATTAAACTCAAGTCATAGACTGAAATCACAAATATCCCTCCGAGTTGAAGAAAATATTTAAGATCCCAATATAGAACTTTAAGTTTAATATTGTCTAATATAGCTCGTTAACAGTTGGATTTAGATAAACAGTAAGTTCAATTACATATCCAGAAACATAAAGTCATTCATGAGAAGTCTGATATGGACTATTATCTTCCTCAACAGTCTCCGAAGATTACAAACAAGATCTAATGGATATAATGGTATGTCTTTACAGTTATCTCGCTAAATGTTGGTGGTCTTTACCTTTTAATAGATGTGTTTAAAACGTTTCTACTGTCAAAATTTAGGAGGGCGTTGCTCTCCTCTATTCTGTTTAATGGTTTCTATAAGGAAAATGCATTTCAAGTAACTATTTTCTTTCAACAAAGCTTAACAAAGGCAAGACATTTACCAAGTGAGTCACCAATGCTTAACTTCAAGTGTCACAAACTCAGGGTACTGACAGTTGGTCTTCTATCTCTGAAACCTCTTACTTTACACAATGTGAGAAGATATTTAGATAAACATTTAAGTAAAATGACCCGCATTTATCCATAAATAAGAAAAAATATGATTTAGCCCCCAAGAATAAATTTAAAACTTGATGTTGATGGCTTTCTTAAACAGAATTGATAGCCAAATCTATCAATACAATTTTATTTTCAAGGGCCAAAATAGCTGGTTTTTCTACCAGTGAATATGTGACAGTAAATAAAGAATAGAATTAGATTGAAATAAGAGATTATTTCCCTAAATCTGGAGATGACTCAACATGTGGCTGAGTGTCTACATAATAATGATATTCCAGGAAAACACACTTTCTAAATAGTGCCAAACGGAAATATTAAATTAGCTTAATTATTTCCGTATTTTTATAAAATAAGAGCCAGAATGTTCTTCAAAATGACTTTGAAAAAATGGAAGTGAACAAGCAAAGAGAAGTTAGGCAATTTGCTTAAAACTTCAACAGAAGACATGGGAGGAAACAATGTTTGAATTAGATCCTTCAGAAAGCACAATGTTCTTTTTCCTTGTCAAAGAGGAGCCCATCTGAGAGCCTAGCACAGCTTCCACAAGAGATACAGAATAACTAATGATGTTACCAGTTAGGAAGAAAGTGAGGGAAAAACAAGACTTTAAGGATGTTAGAATACTCAGTGGAAATCAGTGTAGAAAAAAATTTTAAGTGCATGCCCAATGCACCTCCTAAAGGCTTACCTTTGGCTGTTTTAGATTACTAGTATAATAATTTTTACAAAAGACTGAGTGTATGTCAGGATTTGTAGTTCTATGAATCTGAGGCACCCTCCAAGGTCCATAACAAAGTGATCTGTTACTCTGCTGAGGCAGGAACTGGAGTTCCAAGGCTGAATCTGAGAGCAAGTCATTTAACTAATAAGTGAACCTAGCTAACCACTGAACACTTTGTTATTATTTAATCTTTATTTAATCCTGTATTTCTGTCCTTATTTAATAGATGTGAGAAAGAAATCAAATTCTATGGTGGCAATAATAAAGATGTCAGGATGTATTCTGTAAAGAATGACAAGTCCACTATACTACATATTTCTAGCACAGTAAACTATTTCCAAATTATCTCAAATCTTCCCTCTTGTGAATGACATTCTGCATTCCCATGTGATCACATTCTCCTTTGATAGTACTACCTCCTTCACTGAGTGATGATTTACCTGTTATTTTTAAAAAGAAATAAAAGTACACAAAAATACAAAGTTTCATCATTAGGCAAAAAGCATCTCAAGCTGCTTAGATTATTGCAGGAACTGTTGCATGTTTTATTAACTCTTCTCAATTTCTAATGAGTGACAAACACCATTACCGTCCTGTTACCTAGATCAGAATAACACGGGCAGTTTAATGTAATGGAAGGCATGAAGGATTGGGAAAGAGGCAGCTTGACTTTTTCCATGCTTCAGTCTCCTCGCTAACCAAATATTCTAGTGAATGAGTGGTATAAAGTAACTTGTCAGTGTTTTTGTGTGGTCCAAGCAGCACAACAAGTAAAAGTGTATCTAAAAGCTCAAATTTTAAATGTATTTTAAGTTTAATTGCAGAAATATGTATTGAGTACTTATTATAAGTAATGAACCACAGCTTCAATGGCTGTTCAAAAGATGAATTAAGGAGCAACTGAAAATAAAAGGTATTGAATAGGTATAGAGCTCAGGGAGGCAAAGGGAAAAGAGCAGTTCGGTATCACAGTGTGAAGACAAAATCAGATTATGAGACGGACAAGCCAACCTTAGAAGAATCCCTTGCTTAACCTGCCTCTCCCCTAACCAGCAGTAACCTCATCTTCTGACTTGCTTCTTCGAAATTATACATGTAATTAGGGAGAAGAAACAAAAAAACTGGGGAAATTGCAAACATTAAATTGAGAGATATAAAAGGTACCTCTCCACTTTGAACAGTTACAAACACTTAAAAACATAGTGACAGGAGGCAGAGATGTCACTGGCTCTGAAAATGACAATGTTGTCTATAGCCTAATCACACTAAGCATAAGTTCATTTTTTTGTATTTTAAAGTTAAGGCAATTTTTGGTTCTCTATTTAGTACTTACGTCATTTTGCCTAGTAGTGCAATTTCCATATAATACTCTCTCCTTAAGTCACTTCACCTTGGTGGAACAGAAGAAGTGAGAATGGCATTTATAAAAGTGTGCTCAAATGATAAGACCTCGTTTTCTCACCGTGGCTAAATTCTCTCAGTAGCCACCTCCATCATCTATACCTCTCATTCGGCAAAGTATCTGAGCCTCATACTTTGTGGCAGGAACTGTCCTGGACTGGGGTAACCATGTAAACAGGACCCACATGATCCCTGTCTCTGTCCTCAAGGGGGAGACAAACAACAAACAAACAAATGAATACAAAAATTACAAATCGGAATCAATGCCATAAAGGGTACTCCAACAGAAAAGTTGGGGGGTTACAGAACTACTTTCAAAAGGATGGTCAGGAAAGGCCACTCTAGGGAGATTTAGGCAGAGACCTGAGAAGAGCAACCAGCTACAACCACAAGGGGTATGTGTGTGTGTATAGGGGAGTGAGCATTCCAGGAATAGAGATCAGAAAGTGCACCTTGGAGTGAGAAAGTGAACTTAAAAAGGATGGTAGAAGGCATGGAACAGCAGAGTAACTAGAACCTTTCGAGTAAATGACATACGAGACTGTAAACGTGGGTAAGGACCAAGGAAGGCCTTGTATATCATGGCAAGGTGTCTGGATTTTATCTAAATGCAAAGGGAAGCCATAGGATTAATTCAGACAGGTGAATTACCCAATCCGATTTTGTTAAAAGACTACGCTGATAAAATGTGTGAAAAAAAGGTTTTAAGCACAGAGAACCATAAGTCAGACATAGTTATTCACTTCTCCGGGTCTCAGATTTTCCATTTGTAAAGTAATTGGTTTGAACTAGAAGCCATTTCCTTCCCTCTGCGAGGTGCCTAGGCAGTGCATTCTGCGAGCCCGGGCCTTGTCACATTGGTCATGGAATTTTCCCTCATCCCCGCGGACGCCCAGCACGCAACTGGCACCCGGAAACTGTTGGTCAGCGCAATGAATCAATGAATGGCCAGTCTCGGCCGCGAGGAAGGCATTCCGGGCGCGGGACCAGGCCCCAGGGCCGGAAAAGAACGCGAAATACGGCGCGAGAGCCCACGAGAGCCGGCCGACGAGGAAAGTAGGGGCTGGCTCCACCACGACCAGGGCGCGGCGAAGAGTGGGGCCGGAGCCTTGTGGGTTGAGGGCAGAAGGAGCTGAACTCCAGCTCGACACAGGGAGCTAGGAGAGGAGGCCGAAACGCAGGGCCGAAGTAGGGTTCTGGGCCCAGGCCCGGCGGCCCAGCCACTCACCGCAGCCGTCGCCAGGCTGTGCATGTTGGGAGCGGCCACCGCTCTCCTCCCACTGCCGGACGCGCCCGACCCACGTCCCCGTTTCAGCGCCTCTGCCGCCGAAGCTGTTGAGCCGCCTCAGCCGCCATCCGCCTCCGGCTCGCTCCGCCCCTTTCGTAGCCCTATGACCTTTCACCTCCGACCCCGCCCACACAATCTCTTCCCGCCTCCTAGTTCTCGGCGGAGTTAGCCCAAAAGTATGTCCTTTGCTTCTTAAGATTCAAGACCTGAAGGACGTCTGTCACCTACTAGTCCTCGCATTCCCCGGCAGGTATCCCCAGGGAGCGGTGTGAACTCTGACCCTCCTCTGGAGGCCAGTGAAGGGCGGGAAAAACCGGGCAGTCCTGGGCGGACAAGTAATGCGCATGCCCCCTTGGGCTGAGTAAGAGGGAAATGGTGGAAAGTCGAAAGTGAATGAAGTGGAAAATGCGCATGCGTACTGCAGCCAGGATGGGGCGGGGCTGCCTCGGCGAGATTCAGCTCGGTGCTGGGGCGGGGCGAGGGCGTGTAGGGGCGGAGTTTGCAGGCTTGCGCGCTCGCGCTTCGTCCGGTCGCGTCGAGTGTGCGTGCGTGCGTTGCGTGTTTGCGTGTGGTCACAGTTCCCGCCATCAGCTGCTCTCCCTGACTCGGGGGAGCGAGCTGTCCCTCTTCGTGCTCGGTGTCCCTTCCTTCCTTACCCTCTCGTCCTCCCATTCCGGGCGGACTCTGTGTTTCCGGCAGGCCTGTCCGGGGCTCCGGTCTCGCAGGCACAGGTAAGGCGGGCCCAGCGAGCTTCTCAACTGAGCCGTTTTCCCCCAGGTATCCTCCCCACCCCGCGCCCCGTGCGGCCCGCCCACTCGGCGTTCACTCTTTTGGAGTTCGCCCCGCTGCTGCTCAGCCTGCCCCTTCCCCTCGTCGCTCCCCTGTCCTCACTGGTACTCCATTTGGGTCTTCCCCCGGGCTTTCCTTCTTTGACCTAGTCTTTACTGTCACTCGCTTTCTCGGCACCCCGAACCTGCCCCATTGCACTGAGAGCTGTCGTCTGCCACTCGCCCCTTAGCGAGGCCTGCTATCTCTAAAGGGGACCAATGTTGCCGCACATCCATCAGGCCTTGGACATGACACGCTCACTCTATTGATAGTTCGCCTTCTTTATTCTCTTAACCATCTCTCTACTAAAAGGCTTGAATTGTATTTTTGTTGTGCATTTGGTTGTTCCCGGTCTCTAGCCATCAGGTCAACTTGTCAAGTTTACCTATTTAAGGTCATGAGCCATGTAAGAAAATGATAATTGATGACAAAATCCTGTTTTCTGGAGAGTTGGCCTGTAGCGATTTTGTGGTAATTCTTTCAAAATTCTGGCTCTGTGTAAATGCTTTTTTTGGGGGGAGGGGCGGAGAGGAAGGAGACAGTATCTGACAAGTATCTAGGCAGAAGAGATATCCAAGAGGATGTCAAGTAGGCAGTTGGATATCTTGGATTGAAGGTCAGAGGAGAGTTCTGGGCTAGACATATGTATAAAATTATATCATCTGCTACGTTGATGGTAATCAAGGCTATGGACATGGATGAAATTGCCTAAAGAGAGTATAGTGCTAGAAAAGAAGGGGACCTGGGATGGAGCACTGAGGAATTCTTGAAGTTTAGAGAAATACTAGTGTAAAAGAGATGAAAGAAGTAACAGTGTTGGATTCTGCTGAAAGGCAAAGTTAAATGAGAACTGAGCAATCAAAGTAACTGATGATCATAGAGATGTTCGATGGAGTAAAATGGAATACCTCGGTTCATTCCTAGGTCCTGTTCTCTTTTTACTTCCCCTTTCCACCCTAAGCTTTAAATTCCACCTATATATTGATGACTTGAGAATTTTTATTTCCAGCCTTTTCCTTTTGTTTGCAGCTCAAGATCTAAATAGCCCTCCCTGTTTGACATCTCAGCTTTTTTCCTTAGGAATTTGAAATATAACATGTCTAAAACCAAAGTCTTAGTCTTCTTTCCATATCCAGATTCTTTATCTAGTATCCCATTTCGTTAAGTAGCATATCCATTTATCCATTTACACGGACTAGACACTTGAAAACCATTCTTGATTTCTCTCTCATCCCATGTATCTATACCCTCTTCAAGTTCTGTTTATTCTATTTCCAATATATGTCTTGAATCTATTTCTGTACATCCACAGTATCACTTTTGTAGTTCAAACCACAGTCTTCATTCACCTGGACTTAATGTCACTGGTGCCCTGTATTCTCATCTTTAAAATTGAAATAATCACCACCTTATTGGATTGTTATGAAGATTAAATGAGATAACCATGGTAAGCACATGGTACACAGTAAATACTGGTAAGCATTAATTGTTATTGTAATTGTTATAAACTGAATCACTTCAGTACTTTCCTATCTGTTTGCTCTATTTTCTTCAATTCTTGTTTCTTTTACTCTCCTCCCCAAATTCAAACAAACTATATCACTTCTCCATTTAACGGTGACATGTCATTTCTCTGCTTAAAACCCTTTAGTGGATTTCTGCCATTAAGTGTTATTACATTTAGGGCAAAATTCAAAATCCATACTGTGGTCTACAAGATTCTGCAAAACCTGATTCTTTCCTACTTCACTAGATTCATCTTGCACCATCTTTCTCTCCCTCACTAAATTCCAGTCACAATGCTTTTCATTTCTTCAGTCACACCAAGTTATTTCCTTCACAGTGCCTTTGCGCATTTTGTTCTCTTTGCCTGGATTCTTCCAGCATGACCATCCCTCAGTTAACTCATTCTTCACTTTTCAGCTTAAGTGGTCCTTCCTCAGAGAAACCTTCTGATGCTCTCTATCCTCTAACCCCCAAGTCTTAAACCTTATTATAACTTCTCACCATGCCCTGTACTTTGTCATTTTTCAGAACATGCAATTATACATTTACTTGTGTGATTATTTAAAATGTCTCATACTAGAATATAAGTTAGTATTTCATATCTGTTTTTCAATAATTGGTTAAATAAGTAAACTGGAGCTTGCTGTAAGAACTATCATGTCTTTTGGAAGCACCACCTTACTGATCTTGTCATCTGATGACAACACCTTTTCACTCTGCAGACAAAGGACATAGAAGAAAAAAAGGGATTTTCAGTTTTGGATAAAATCATTCAGATTTGAGACTCTTTAAATTGGAGATAAACTTTATCTAGGGCAACTTCTCTCTTTCAGCCACACTAATTTTATCTCGTTGTGCATTTGTTTTATGGATCCTTTTAGTCAAGAAAGCCCTTAGAAGTCAGAGCAGGGTTTACATATTTTTAACAACAGGCTAAACTATGAGACCAACGAGGATGAGGTTTCCAAAAATAGATAAAGGAAAATGTCATATTTAAGTAAGTTGGTGGTAGATTTGGAAGAAAATTTAATAATTCGTGTGTGTGTGTAGAACAGGATTTTTGTTGAGAAATAGAAAATAAAACATAGGCAGTGGATGAAAACCAAACACAGAGAGGCATTTGTATTTATTTTATAGGTAGTGATGAGCTGTTAAAAATGGAAGAAAGTTTCAGTTAAGCAAGTTGAAGAAGTTCTAGAGATACATTGTACAACATTGTACCGACAGTTAACAATACTGTATTGTATACTTAAAAATTTGTTGAGAGGGTAGGTCTCACATTAAGTATTCTTAACACAATAAAATAAAGTTTAAAAAACGTTTGGGAAGGAATTAGCGTCAATAGCAAGTATTTAGCATGTACTAAGTGCGTGTTATTTTGTTGGCGTGCAAAAGAAGATAGGCCAGGTCCTCCTCCCCTCATCCCCACTTTTAGGGAGAAAGTTAAGGAGACAGCTAGTGCATACTTTGGTAAGAAATAAAAAGAGTAGTTATTTAGAGAGGGTAAAAGATTCATTGAATGAGAAAACCTGAAGCAGTAGAAATTGGAAAGTGATTGCTGCAAATCATTGATGAGGAAGAAATTTAGTAGTAGTTAAAAATGTGGATTTGGTGTTAGATTTATTTTTGTTTCTTACTGACTCTGTGACCATGGATAATTAGGTAATCTCTCTAAACCTTAGTTTCCTTATCCGTAAAATAGAGATAATAGTAATCTCTGTCCTTTAGGATTATTTGGAAAATTAAATGAAATAATGCATGTATGGCACTTAGCACTGTGCATAATAATGGTGTGTAATAAATATTAGGTGGGCGTGATGGCAAAGTGATACCTTTCTGAATTAGGGTAGTGGTTATGAAAAGACTGAGTTTTAGGTAAATGAGAATGTGGTTAAAATTGATGCTAAGATTTTTTTTCCCCTGAATATAGGTGGAAGGACAAGTGTAGAGAAGTCTGGGGAGCCTCTTGAGGGCATGGACTGTATAATTTTCATGTTTGTGTCCCTCCTACAGTGCTGTCAAATTGTAGTAGCTTAAATGATTTTGTACTTAGTGAGCACATGAATTTAAAGTTAATGTTAAAGCTTTCGAGAAGGCAGTGAGATATGTTTGGGTAAAACTTCAGAGAAAGTTGAGGCTTAGAGATGCCTAAAATTGAGAAAGAAACTCGTAAAGTTAGTTTTGAAAGAAAAGTAAAAACCAAGTTTACCCACCTTTTGAAATTTGTATCAGCGCATCATGAAAGTGATATTTTAAGACTTAAGACATCATTATGTAACAATGTTTATAAAGTCAACAAAGGATGTATTCTTCTTCACCTCCTTCTTAGTTTCAAAATGTAGCAGATAAATAAACCAAGACACAAATTGATTAAGGTACAGGCTCCTCCTGGAGTCCTTCACTTTGCACACGGATATCTTTCTCAAGTTCTTTTGCTGTGAGTGTGTGTGTGTGTGTATGTGTCTTGAGCATTATATTTTAAATGTTTTCAGTAAGGTAGTTTGTAATTTTTAAGTAATCAAAAGGTTAATCTGTTGTATAAATGATGACTTTAAAAATAATTTTATAAATTGGATTCTTTATAAAGGCACACTTATATTTTCTTTAGCTGAGTTGATGGCTTCCGGAGAACTGGCATAGCTGCAGAATATGAGTAGTTCCCCAAGAAGAGTGCATTGCCTTTGGCACAAGCATCAGAATAAAGGTGAATTGTTATTACATAGGGTTTTTCAATAAAAGTCGCTGGAAAGTAAGTAATATTTTTATTTTGGATATACGATTCCAAGAGTATGCATATTGACAAGAATTGAGTTTTCTTTCTTTTTTATAGTAACAGTTTTATGCTTTAGCATGCTTTTACCACAGAATGTATTTCTGAATAAGGATATTTTCAAAGCAGTATCTGAAATATGAGCATTTAAATAACTGTACAGGGTATAGAAACATTTGTCAATGTTACTGAGCTTTCAAAGAATGCTCAAAGTTGAACAATAATTTTACTATTCGT